GGCTCTCGGCTCCGGTCCGCGGCGGGGGTCGGGGTTGGGGTCGGGGTCCGGGGTATTTCACCCTAGCTGGCTCCTCGCTCAGCTCCTCCAGAGCTGGGACCAGTTCACACCGGTCCCTTAGTAAACGTCTCGTTTTTTTCAACTTTTGGAGTGTTTGTGTTCCTTAAATTTCTCCAAGACACACATTTTTTGAGTCAAGACTCTGACCTGATCCAACTCGGGTCCAAACCGCCGGCACTTGCAGCCGCGTGGAGCCGTGTGCGGCCCGCGGCGTGCGCGTCGGCGCTGCTGCGGGCACTGTCGCTACCTGTCTGCGGCCACGCTGCTCCCTGCGCCCAGTGCGCGCTGGTCTCCGAGAGCGAGCGTGTGGCCGGGACTGGTAAAGCACTAGCACAGGGCACAGGTCGCGGCAGTCACGAGCTGTGTCTGGAAAGGCAAGTGTTGGAAGATGTTAGCCTGGTTAGCCTGCTTGGCACATAGAACATGTTGAGTAGCATAGGTCACTTTGTACTCAGGTCGTAGCAGCGACTTTCCACAGCAGCCGGAAGGCGGGAGACCGCAAGGTGTCCATCAGCGGGCGGGCAGGTGAACACGGTGGGGACATCCATACAACAGACTAGTATTTTCCCTTAAAAAGGGAGGCTGTTCTGACACAGGCTACACCACGGGTGAGCCTTGAGGACATGATGTTCCCTGAAATAAGCCAGGCACAGGAGGACATACCATGTCAGATTCCCGTCGGGGGAATCTGGAGGAGTTCCCTGGAGGAGTCAGATTCAGAGACAAGAAGTAGAAGTAGGAGGGTGGGTGCCGAGGTCTGGGGAGGGGGTGAGGTGCTGTGTTTCAGTGAGTCAAGAATTTCAGGTTTGCAAGATGGAGAGAGTTCTGGAGGTGACAGTGGTGATGGCTGCACGACAGCGTGCACATGGCTTAACGCCACTGAGCTGTCACTCAGAAACGCTCCAGACAGCACATTCTAGGTTATGTGTGTTTTGCCAAAATTAAAAATAAATTCTAAAATATAGCTCACTAGCAGTATTAATAATTATCAGTATTTCAAACTCTGTCTCCCCCCACCCCGAGTCAAGTCCCCACTCAGCATGTCTGAACCTAACACGTTTCTTCTCCCCAAGTCGTCTTCTCTAACGGAGAGAGAGGAGATTGGAACCCTCCTCCCTCCCTGTCACCCCCAGGCACTGGCTTCTGCTCAGCGTGTCTGCTCTTCCATCTCTCCCTTCCTGTGAGTTTGTAGCACTGATTATTGAGGGCTGTACCATCTCTTCACTGGTGGGTAACAGTAACCGATATCCCATGTGCCTTTACTGGTACCGGTCACCGCGAGAGGCTGGCAGAGACGCAGTGATGGACAAGGCTGACCACTCTGCCCGGGACTCGGTCCTGCCCTCCGTTCCCGGCGGTGCTGAGTAATTTGTGGCACCTCCACCATGTCGCGTTCCTCCATGCCCTGCCTCTGCTGTCCCTCTTCGTGTATATTCCCGTTTCCATTCTCTCTCCTCTTTCCTCTTATTCATCCTCGTCAGGCTTCATTTATACATTTACGCATTTATTAACTAGACTTGAAAGCCAGGTCGAATTGGCCATTTTATCCTTACACTTATAAATATTTGTGCTTATTTTGTAGAGTTGTTCTATAATGGACATAACTCTTTTGGATGAATATGGGAAACCCTTTTGGTGTTTCAGTTCCCCGGTTTCCATGAGCTCTTCTCCCAGCCCCTCTGACGGTCCTAATTTCTTGGGACAGACATACCGTGTTGACTACATGGACTCGACAGGACAAGTGCACATGGAGCTGGTGTGGATCGAAGAGACAGAAGAATACTTCATTGTCAGCCTGGTCCTCTACCTCAGTACAGCAAAAATAAACCACTGGTTTGGGACTCAATACTAAATGTTAGCAGTAGGTGGAAAATTACTATTGCCATTTATTTATTTTGGACTAACCAGTTTTGTTCTTGGTGTTGGAAGTTAAAATAAAGCAGTCGTCTGTCTGTTGCCTTATTTCACATTAGAAATTATGATTCTCGAGTTATTTTAAAGTTAATGTTTAGAGGGTTAAGTTAGATTTAGAAAACATGAACTCAGCACATCCTGATGAAAACTCGTATAAAATGAAAAGGAAAAAGATATTTACTTCTGCCCTTAAAATTGAAAAGAAAACAAGAAATTCTGCTTTAAGCATGTGATCACCGTGTGTATGTGTATAGATAGGTTCTTTTTCCCTTTATTGGTTAGGACCCCAAATGAGAAAATATATTTGAATATGAACTTCATGGTATTCATTTAGTATTTCATAAAACAAAGTAAAACAGACATATATCTTGCTTCACAAGGAAATATGTCTCTGAAATCATCAGAAAAATGTTACTGCTTCGAAGAGAGTGGGACAAATGTGGCCGAGACAACCGACTCTACGTTAGTGGGGACAGACAGATGAGTGAGTACCGAGCACGTCCTCTGCAGAAATGGTTAAGAGAATTGACAGGTGCATGGGGTTCACACAGAGGGAGCACATTATCTAAGCACATGTTTCTTTAGGGATTTGGTTCTAAATTTGTTTTAGATTGTACCGATTATTTTCTGATTATATTTTTATCTCCCACTTTAAGTTATTCTCAGAAGCGAGTTTTGAAGTTGCTCCAGCTGGGCACCCACACTTAAGACTTCCCTCCTCTCTGTTCTTCATTCTTCTCATGTTGAATGATCCATCAGTTTTCTCTTTTGAGGTGTGTGTGTGGCGTGAGTGTGGAATAAGGAGCTTGAAGACAGCAGTAAAAGATTTGGGACAGATGCTAGGTTCTTAGCCAAAGAAATGTGAGAGTAAAAGGTATTCCTGCTCTGTCCTCACCCTCCCAACTCCCAGGGCTTGGGCAGAGCCCTTGCGAAGGAGTCACAGGGTAGTGCTCTTTCCGTGATGTCACCAAAGGATGGCTGTAGGGCACCTGCCCCACCTGGCAAGAGTCGGGAGATGGAGAGCCAGTGGCTTGAGCAGCGGGCTGAGATGGAAGAGAACAAGGTTCAAGAGGCAACTGGCAGTCACTACTTGTCACCCGCGGGACTGAAAGGAATGTGTGGTGACTCGCCGCACTCAGCGGGTTAGCTCGTGGAGGGACGAGGTGTCCTGAAAATCCAGGAAGCAAGGCAGAGCCGGAGAAAGCGTGCCGTCCTCGTGCCCCCGGCTTAACAATGTTTGGATGGCATGGGCAGCCTGGCACTTCTGTGACGGCCATCGACGGGGACGTGTAGGCTGGGCTTTCTGTCTTGACGCTCGTTCATGCCCATGCAGGTATGGGCCTAGCATCCACCTTCCTGTCGGACTGCAAGGCCCGTGAGCAGCACCGTGACGTCCTGCTGAGTGCTCTGTCCAGCATCCGGCGGGACTCCTGGCTCATCCATACACATAGCCATCTGTTGAATTGGTGGAAACTACGGAAAGGAATTCCCACGCTGCAGGAGTCCGAGGGAGGCGGGGCTGCGCTCTGTGCATCTGAGTCGACTTTGGAGGAGGGGGTGTTGGGCAGTGCTGGGGGAGGGGAAAGGCATTCACAAGCCTGGCATTCTTGTCTCAGCAGAGCTGGAAGACTCTCCCTCCTCCATGTACCCTTCCTAGGTCTGGGATAGTGTTCAGCTTTTTAAAAGCTCTTCTCATATTTGCCTTCATGTTTCTAAATAATATTCTATGTTTCTTGACTCATCGATTTTAGACGTCTGCTGACTTATAGTAGATAAGCTCTTGTAGGCCAGCCACCGCCCCTGTTGAACATTCCAAATAATTACTGCAATCTTAAATATGTTGCTATGGTTTGTTATGATGACTAATATTGTCCCCTGCAGGGTCACATAGAGTACTGTGATGCTTTTCTCTTTTACAACTTTTACATTTTCCGAGATGAAGAATTGCCTTCCCTTTTTATTTGGATGATTTTCAAGGAAACCTAAAAATTTCCTTAAAGTTCTGTTCAATCTTTCATATGTTAGTTAATGTCCTCCCCCCGCCCGCCCAGCGCTCATACATACCAAATAATGTATGAATTCTGTTTTCTTCTTCCCAGGCCATTTCATTCGCAGAGTTCTGCCTCTATTTTTGTTCTTTAAATGTCCCCTCTCTAGCCCTGCTACATGGCTGTCACCCTTGGGAACTTTCCTTTGCAAATAGCCTGTCTTATGGAATCTTGTTTTCCTTTTTCTCGATTTATATCCTTTTTTCAGTGACACACCTTCTCCTGTAGCTTCTACGAAAGTGATGTGGGAGATAGACTTTGGATTCATGAATTTCTGAAAATGTCTGATGGATAGTTTAATTGTCTGCAAATTGTAGGTTGAAAATATTTCCTCTTAGACCTTTGACGACTTTCTTTGTGAGTATTTATCCTATTGTTGTTGATACGTATAATGCCATTTTGATGGTTCTTTTGTGTGCGGTCTGTTCTCTTTTCGTTCTCTCTCTGGAAGCTCTTAGATTTATTCTTTCTTGATATTTGGTCATTTTAATTTAAGAACTTGAGTACTTCAGTTCTGGAGTTTTAAAAAATCTGTCAGTATTTTTTTTTTCTGTACTGTTTATTAATCTACTGTCATTCTTTCTAGATGGATCCTCAAGTCTCTTTTCTGTCTTGCATCTCCGTCTTCTGTTCTGCTTTCTAGAATGTCACCTCAATTTTCTATTTCAGCCCTTGCCTTGCATTCTTTTTTTTTTTAATTTTGATGGCCAGGTTTTTACTTCATTAAAATTCTTTTTCTAGTTCCTTATAACACATTCTGTACCTGTTACAGAAATGCAGTATTTTCTCTGAAGCCAGGCTCGGCAAACTCTTAAGGGCCTGATAATAGTTTCGGCTTTGTGAGACATGTGGTGTCTGTCCATCTACTCGGCTGTCCTGTCACCGCATGGAGGCGGCTGTAGATGGTACGCGAACGAATGGGCTCGGGCGCGCCAGAAAACGTCGATTTACTGAAGCGGGTGGCAGGTGCAATGCGGCCTTCAGGCTGTAGTTTGCAACCCTGCACAAAAGCCTCTGAGGTTATCAATTTTCGTTTTCAAAAAACTTCATCACCATTTGGCAAAGCCATAACAAGAGGCTTAGGCAGGAGTCATCGATGGATGCCGAGCTTGGGCAGAAGGCACGGCGTGAAACAGGACACTGACGTCGTCTCAGAGTGTCTCACCACAGGCCTGTTGCAGAGGAAAGAATAGTAGGTCCGCATGGAGGAGGCTGAGACAGTCTCCTGTTGCCTTCACTGTCCCCAGAGGCCCTTCCCCCTCGCTTCAGCTCTGACACACTGTCATTGGATGCTGTGCCACAGGGAACCGCCCCCCCACCCCGCCTCGGTGCCCCGACTCCTGTACGTGCAGCTTCCTCACCTCACTCGGGCCCGGAAGCATCACACTAGGCACTGTCTCATGTGATTTAAAGATGCTCTTGATGCCAGCATGCAACACTCCGACATGAGGATAGGCGACAGGCAGTTCTGAAGGGGAGAGGGCCCCCAGGCAAGGCCACGCAGAGTTGTGCCCAGGGAAGGGGCAACAGCAAGCCGGCGCTGTCGGGGCACTTGTGTATGGATTAGCTAGGTTTCGGGAGCTCCCTGCGGATTGGAAAACTTGACTAATTCCATGGGCTCATGGCATAGGGGCTGTCCCTGGTTGGTGGCACTTGGGCCTGGGGCCATTAGAGCAAATGCATAGTGACTCCTAAGGGTGAGAGCGCACTGAGGGGGCAGATGGGGTGTGGACTTAGCTAGCTCAGGAGGAGGACTGAGCTGCCTCCAGCCGGCTCAACACAGCATTTAAAACTCCCCAACCAAAACAAACCTCATCGTATGACAGCCACTCCTGTGCCTGGGTGTCCTCACCACCTTCCTGGGCCCTGCCTGTCACACCAGGCTGCCGGAAACCGGGAGCCCCCCTCACCCCACCCTCACTGCTCCTCCCCGCTTCGCGGTCGTGGGAGTCAGCAGTCGGGGAAGGGAGGCACTTCTCAAGGGTGAAATACTGACATATTCTGTTGCGCATCATAAATCTTCACATATACTCAACATGAAGGCCCCTTTGGGGACACTGGCCGTCTTAGTATTGTTTGCATTGAAATTAAGTTGTCAGACACATGAAGTAACAGCATTTCTAATCACAGTCCTTGGTCCGAAGGAAGCCTATTGTCTGCAAAGCAAGAGGAAAGATTGTGCTGAGTTTTCTTAAATAATAAGTCTAGAGGATCGAGAAGCAGGGCTCATTGAGCTGAATCCATTCAAGAAAAGTAACAGGTGCAAACTCATAATTATGCAGTTGGCAAAGAAACTCAGTTACAGAAAAACGTACCTACTGCTAGCGTAGGATAAAGGCACATTTTTTATTTCATGTGTACTCCAGATGTCATATCTTGCCTGATTTAAAACCAGACCTCAGATCTGACCAGCCTTCGCAAGGGAGATTTTTCTGTGTGACCTGATAATTGTCTCTCAGTGTCATTGACGCCTCCTTATAAGTTTAATGATTGCAACAAGAAAATGACCTCATGAGAAAACCACTCTGCAGAATGTTTTTCCAACGCTTGTAAAGAAATGTGCCTTTAGAGCCTCGCCATAAGCGCGTGGGCGCATTTCCATGTGGAAGACGATGGCGCTCGACTTTAGTATGGGAGGTCTCTCGTAGTGTCCTCTGGCTGCGAAGACTAACGCCGGATTGTCTCTGAGCTCCTACCAGACACGTTCCAGGCTGCGGGAGCCAGGGGCACTGAAAGCCGTGCTCACGGAGGGAGCTCAGTAGAATCAGCAAAGGAGAGGAGGAGACAGCAGGGTGCCCGGAGAAACAGGAGCTGCGATGGAGAAATAGCGGACACCCGTTTCGGGGTGCCGAATGGTACGAGGTCCACCAGGCTGCCGGCGAAGGTCAGGGAAGAAAGCTGATCTGGGGCCAAAACGGATTAAAGGGACAGCCCAGCCCCAAATAGCAACAGGACCCGCCTTCAGCAAAACGTAGGAAACAAGAAACTGAGCCAGAGACTCGGGG